GCCCCCACTTGCCTCTACGGCAAACATCAAGTTCGTTTTCTTAAAAGATAATTGTATAGTTAGAAAAAAGTTGCCAAGAGAGAGTAATTTGTATTCAGTCTTTTCTCCCTTTTCTCTCTCATCTTTACCTTTTCTTTTTCTCCATTTGTTTCTTCTCTTTCTTCCTCCCACTGGTTATTTAATTAGCAAGTGTGTAAATGCCTAATAGGACTTAAGATGCTAGAGATAAAGAAGTCAATAATATTTCCTATAGCATCATATATGGTCTAATTATATACATGACAGTCAAGCAAAGTGACCCCAATTAGAAAACATGCTGAAAAAGAGAATTTTTTTGTATGCAGTAGTGATGTAATTCTTGTCTTTGGGGAAGTGGTTCATTCAATAAACAAATGCCAAACATCAGCCAGATGCAAGTCCAGTGAATATAGAGGTGTAAAACAGAAATGTTCTATAGAAATGTTCTACCTTTCCTATACAATAAGAGCATAAAACTGTTTTACAGTATTTAAATAATGCACTATCATTATTTTGAGGGCAGTTGCATTCAATTGTACATTCAGATAACAGGACCTAATTTAAAGTATTGTTAAATAAGACCTGAGTAATACAGAAGGAAACTATACAAGGTTTATACTTAAGTTCTATTTCTTTCTGTTTTTATGTGGGTTTGTTGTTTGTTGTTGTTGTTGTTGTTGATGTTGTTGTTGTTGGTGGTGGTGGTGATGGTGGTAGTGGTAGTGGTGGTTTGTTCTTTGAGGAAACCACACCTGGTAGTTATCAAGACATTTTCCTGGTTCTGTGCTCAGGGATCACTTGTGGCAGGTCTCCTGGGATCATATGTGATTCCAGGGATAGAGTCTGGGCTGGCCATATGCAAGGCAAACACCTTCCCACTCTGCAAACTCTCTTTTTATTTTTTAAAACAATCCTCTTCTATACTATCTGAATAATGCTCTACTATTTTGCTTTTAGAACAACTTATAATGTGATAAATTTGAATTGTTTTACCATGTTTAATAGACATGAAATCATAAAAATATAGTATTGAAAGTCAAATTTTCAGCAGATGGGTAGGTTCATGCACTAGAAAAGTCATACCAGTACTCATCCATAAAGAGTCAACACAATGAATAACTAAGAGCAATTCAGTTGGATCATATGAGCTATTTTGAATGCATTCTATTCTTGGAGCAACTATTTTTCTGTTGTCGATGTTCAAGATTTGGCCATTTTCCTGCCAACATTCCATTCTTATCTTCCCGCTCCACCAGGGCATATGATTGTCATAGTGAAAAAGAGGCTTTTGAATGAAGAAACATTATCCTTATCAATTCATCTACTTTTGCTTCCTCACTTGTAAAGTACAAGATTGACACATTGAGCTGGTATGGAACAATCATTACTAGGAGCACATTGTCCTCTGGCATATTTTAGTATCTCCAGTTCACATAAAAGTTTGATCCTATTGCCAGAAAAGGATAAATTGGGGGAGGGGCTGAGTGACAGTACAGCAGGTAGGGCATTTGTCTTGTACCTTGGTTCGATCCCAGCCCGTGTTTCCCTAATCAGTGTCAGGAGTGATTCTTCAGTGCAAAGCCAGGAGTAACCTCTGATCATAGGTGGATGAAGCTCAAAAACAAACATATATATATATATATATAAATATATATATATATATATATTCATGCTCTCCTCACTCTAGAATATTAGAAACTATTCTGATGTTAGCAGTTGATTTTGATAAGGAACTCAGAGCTGACAAGTTCAATAGAAAGACTAGGAAGTGAACTGAAGAGTTACCTAATAAAATTGCCCAATTTCCCTATCGGTAAACTTCTGATTGTACCTGAACAAGTGTGGGGAAGGAAATGGCAAGTTTGGCTATCATTTTGGAAGTTTTTAGAGATTCTAGGAAATAGATGCCCATATAACCAATTTCACTATCAGTATGGCCTTTATAAAGCCAGATAATTTTAACTTTCACCTTCCATCCTAAACAAACATGAAATATGTTATAGATTTGGATTTAGGGCATGAGGCTATTTTCATAATATTTTGACTTATATTTGTTCTGTGTAAATAAATCAAAGTGGTCATGTAAACAATAACCTGGTAAATTGGAATAGTCAATAGTAAAACCAGTCACTAAATTATCTTGTTCTCTGTGCCTCATTATCTGCTAACAGCTAATAAGTTGTTTTGCCTGACTTTTTTGCTAAAACTAAAAGTCCTGGATAAAATTCAGAAAAGAAACTATTTTCAGAAAAATTTATGAGCACAAAAATGGACATCTATTTTACAAACTCTTAGATGATGTTTTTGTGGAAGGTTAGAGATTACCTTGAAATCACTTTTATTTGCATTGAGATAAAATATAAAATTAGCAAGCTGGAGAGATAGTATAATTGGTATGACACTTACCTTGCATACAGCCAACCTGGATTTTATCCTAGGAACCCCCCAAATGGTTCCATGATCCCTGCTAGGTATGATCCCTGAGCATTGAGTTGGGAATAATCTCTAAACACAGCTGGATGTGTACCCAAAACCAAACCAAAAAACCATATATATATATACATATATATGTATATAAGGCCAAAGAAAAGTGTGAAAAGCTCATATTGACATATTATCATCATGATTAAAAGGGCAACTAGGTTTAAAAGGACAATTCACTGGGTCATCTTGAAATGAAGTTAAAATAGACTCAAAGGGAAACATTTCAGAGGAATGATCACTCTAACTCTTTATTTGGGGAAAAGCCTGAGAAAATTTTTGATTTTCAGTTCCCAGTTTTAAATAGATAGCTGAGGACAATAGATAAAAAAAACTTTGCAACCATTTACAGAAGTTCTTGAAAAATTCTATACCTGTGGTTATAATAGAGGTCCAAAATTATATTTGTTTTCATAGAATTTGATAATTTTTATTATGTCTTTGCTGTAATGAAGTGATATGGGTTATTGAAATAGCTTAGAAGTAAGAGCATCTAGAGGAAAGAGTATGCTTCACAAGTTTATATCCTAGATACAGTAAGATATCAAAACACTTTTCAAGAAGTAAAAACTATATTGTTATTTGATTGTGCCAAAATACTTGATAGATTGCCAGTTCAATTTTTAATTTTGTGAAATCATCTATTAATTCACCCAGAAAAATATTGTTGACTGATGCTAGCTTTAGAGAGTTCATCATCAATTTATAGTCATTTTTTAAGATTTTCCTTTAGGAAATTGTCTATTTAATGAATACAGCATTATTAATAATATTAAAAATACAATAACTAAAGTTTCCTTCTCCTTTCCTCCTGTGGAAGGAACTGAGCCCCCTCAGATAAACCACAGAGTCCCACAAAGCATAATTTGAAAACTTCTGAGCAAGGGAGTGCAGATGTAAGTGAGCCTTTACCTGTCAAAGATCTAATATTTTTACTTTGTGAACACAAATCAGCAGATCAAGATCTTGTGGTCAGGATTTATTGAAAGATTCAATTTCTCTGATTGACTACAGTGAGGTCAGTCACAAATATAAACCAAGGGAACCAAGAGATTTTGGTATGACAGGACCAATCAGGCTTTCTAAATGTAGGGTCTTGTGGACTTCGAGGCCTGGCTGTGGATCCAAATTGGAGCTCCTACAGAGGAGGCATAATTGAAACCATGGTTCAACTTGTCAAGACCAGATGAGTTTGTTATTTAGAGCAACACCTTTCTGACTTCAGCATGCAGACCCATCAGCTGGGAGTCAGAGGAAGATGTGGTCTGGTGTCACTGACTTCATATACAATGTTTTAATGAAAACAGAGCACTGGTCAACCTCCAGTTCTGAACCCCCCCCCCCCTCTTTTTCAGATAAATGACAGCAGGTGTGCTAGGGTAGGACTAGAGAAAGATCACAGAACATGGGTGTCAGTGTATGTGGGTTGTAAATCTGTTTATTGCCAGGTATTTACTAGGTAAAATACTGGCATGTATTTACTACTCTTGATCTGTATTGACTCTACTACACAATGTGGATGATGATTGGGAGTTTTGCCCTCACTGGACTCATGCAAGTATAAAATGGACTAAGGGTTTATAATGTATCTATCATAGTATCTATCATAATGTCAAGCACATGGTAATATTCAATAGATAATGCTTATAGTACTATTAGTAGTATTAGTTAATGTGACTATGCTATTTAGCTACTCTAAATTTTCATCCTTAATAGAAAATGTAAATAACAGGAGGTCAGTTCTTCCAAGATGTATTTTGAAAATTAAGTAAAAGAACTTTTAATATTTCCCATAAATCGATGATCGACGGGAGGGCCCATAATATACAATGTTTAATAAATAAAGTAATAGGACTTTTGTCCTTGAGAATACTGTATTCCAGTGGAAAACATAAACAATAAGTATAATAAATAAGTTACATATTATTTGAATGGTGTAGGTAGTTATGAAGTAGTGGGCATAGAGAAAAGTAAGGGAAATCTTGGATGTTAGGCAAGAGATGTATGATTTAAATTAGGTGATTAAGTGTTATTCTGATAAAACACTACAACAAAAGATGTGGAAGAGTTGACTGAGCCAGAGTCTGAGCCTCTGATTTAGAACAGAACCTCCCTGGGTTTAGAAGATTTCCCAAGAGTTTTCTTATATTTTATTTTATTTTATTTTATTTTGATTTTCGGGTCACACCCAGTATACGCAGGGATTACTCCTGGCTCTGCACTCAAGAATTACTCCTGACAGTGCTCAGGGGTTCATATGGGATGCTGGGAATTGAACCCAGGTTGGCTGCGCACCAGGCAAAGGCCCTATCTGCTGTGCTATTGCTTCAGCCCCTACCAGGAGTTTTCATGTCTGCCATATTCAAGCAAGGAGACTGGTGTCCCTGGAGCAGAAGTATAAAACTTAATTCTCTCTACTAATTTTTTTTCACCTACAAAATGAGATCAGAAAGACACTGGGAAAGATTGTCTACTTCATCTTGTTAAGTATCCTAAGCAAAATGTCTGACTTACTTTTGGAAGATTTTGTCAACCAAGAATTTCTGCTTAGAACCAAAGAGGTAGTACAGCAGGTAAGGTATTTGTTTGCATATGCTTGACCTGGGTTGGACTCCATATAGTCTTCTGAGTCTGCCAGGAGAGATCCCTGAGCACAGAGAGTCAGAAATTTAGCCTCTGAGCACAGCTGGGTGTTGCCGTGTCCTCACGCCCCCCACCCTCCCCCCCAAAAAACTCACCAAAAAAAAACAACAAATAAATTACAACAAAAGAATATGTTTAAAAAGATTTAGACATGGAAGGGATTCCAACAAACCAGAGTGATTCTGGAAAAGTTATTCTACCTTTCTGAGAATTAGTTTTAGTTTTTGTTTTTTATCTGAGAGTATCTCATGCAGTTTATACAATGTACATGTTATTGTCTGGAAGATTTATAAAAGTGTGGGTGAAATGTTAAGTACAACACACAATGGTTCTTTAATTAAGAGCTCGATAAATGGCAGTGATCAGTGAGATGACATGAAGCTATTAATTTGATGTATCTTTATCATTGCTCTGAGGGGCTGTCTTTAGGTCTCTAGCTGTCACCTCATAGTTCAAATTATGTAACTTACTGCAATGAATTGGAAATTCCCACATTTCTATCACTATACCTGCTGACTTGACTCTAAATCGAATGATATTCAGGATATCTTGAGAGTTTTCATATACCATGTGCTGTTCTCTATCAAAATGTTCCTCTTGTTATATATTAAAGTCAAGCGGTAACATTAAAATTAGTGGTATTTTCATGAAATATATAACCAGCTATTATTGACTTGACTAAGAGACCTTGTAAGAGACCATTCTAAGCTAAAACAGTCTGATTGCAGTTTTCAAGAGTACAATGTGTTATTCTGTCAAATCTCATCACAATGATAAGTGTGCACCAAGAAAGAAACATTGTGCTGATCATCCAAGTTCAAACCTCCTCCCTTTTAAGAGTTTTGTAAAGACCTGTTTTATTATGCTTATAGCTTCTTTGGACTTCTTTAATTCCTGCTGGATACAGTAGACAGGTGATCACCTTGGAATAATATCCAGATAACTTTAGTCCTTGGCTCGAAAAATCCTCTTTGTTATGCAGAAAGATAGTACAGGAGTTAAAGCGAATGCCTTGCATATGGTACACTTTGGTTTAACCCAAAGCACCACAGAACTCGGGCAGCATAGCATCCCCAAGTCCTCACATTGAACCACCAGTCCTGTTGGCTAAGAATCACTCAGCCTGTGGACCCAGTGAGCACCATTTGGGAGATTCTTCTCCAAAAACGAAATCTCCATTTGTCTCACATTGCAACATAGATTTGAGCTGAGGTCTCACCCACCAGATGGGATATCCCTTCATTTTCATGCTTTCCTCAGATCTTTTTTTTTAAATTAAAATAGTTGCCTGGAGCGATAGCACAGCGGTAGGGCGTTTGCCTTGCACGCAGCCAACATGGCCAACCCGAGTTCGATTCCTCCGCCCCTCTCGGAGAGCTCGGCAAGCTACCAAGAGTATCTCGCCCGCACGGCAGAGCCTGGCAAGCTAACCCGTGACATATTCAATATGCCAAACACAGTAACAACAAAGTCTCCAATGGAGACGTTACTGGGCCCACTCGAGCAAACCAATGAACAACGGGAGGGCCTTTACCTTTACCTTTAAATTAAAATAGTATGCATATATATATATATATATATATAGTTTTATTTATTGAATCACCATGAGAATAGTCACAAAGCCTTTCAGTTTAAGTCTTGGTTGGTCATACAATAATGAAGATCAAACACCTGTCCCTTCACCAGCAACCCAGGGCCTTGGCAGGGTGGGGAGCAGGGCTGGTTCCACCTGCCATGCCACGAGGCCCCATGTGCCTCGTCAATCCAGTCTCATACCTGGCTGTATATTAGGCTCTAAAAGATGCAGGCGACCATGATGCCGCTGCAAGGGGGACAGGCAGAGGGACAAACACTGTTCCCCTCCCAGGGCGGCATAGCACCATAGTTTAGTGCACAAAGCAGATGCATTTCATTTAGGCATTATATTTTGCTCAAATTTTCCCACCATCATTCAAGCCTGCCTTCCAGGGACAGACACAAGATCATTTACTTTCCATGGCCCACTTTGCATATCAGTAAAGAATAGTTCTGGTGCGTGCATACCAGAGCCATCCCACATACAGGATTCTATCTGGAGAAGGCGGGGAGACAGCATCTACCCCATCTGGGACCTCCCGGTGATATTGGCTCGGTGTGGGGCCTGGAGAATTCTCCGGGAGTTGTGGAGTCTGCAGACCAGGTTTCTTCACTGGTGTGTTGCTTTCCTCAGATCTTAAACCTTAGTTACATCAACTTAAAAGTATAATTTAGAATGTCTTTACATGTTCCTTAGATAAATGGTTGATTCTACAACTGTGTCAAGATATATACAAGATGAGCCTGGAATATCTTGAAAGGCAGTAAAATGTACTTTAAAAATAATAGAAATGGAAATAAAAAGCATGGAAAATAACTAAAAGTCTACACAATGACCAAACCTAGAACATTTTTCACAAAAAAATAATCTAATTTGGGGTTTTAACACAAAATATGAAATATGCATTTATGAGTGTAAATGTTATAAATCAATGAATAAGTTAATAAAGTATAGAGGGACAAATCTACCTCAGAGAAGAATTTCTAATAAATTTAGAAGTTATCAAGAAGTTAAAGCATAACATATCACCTATTAAATATGAGCAGCGCATAGTCACCTACTTCCACAGAGGACAGTATGAGAGAGGCCAAATTTGCTGAAGGGAAGAGTAACTTTGCAATGAAAAAAAATAACATGCACCACAGTGATAAAAGACCACGGTCACCATTAGTGATAAGTCATGTTGACAGTATGTTCTTAATATCTTGTAATGACAATAGCATTTTACCTCCATGATTTCCTTTCCAAATACATAAACTCAGCCCAAATATGAAAAAGAATCAAATTAATCCTAATTAAGAAACATTTTACAAATACCTGAGCAACATTGCTCATAACTGACAGGGTCACCAAAAAGAAAGGAATTTGTGAGAACTAACGAGGAATCTGAAGAGACAAACAAATGTAATATGGAACTTTGTATGGACCCCTAAAACCAAAAGACTATGAAACTCTGAGTAAAGAATAGACTTTGGATAGTGACAATATATCAACATGGCTCATTTTTCGTACCAATATAAAAGTTTTTATTAGGAGACTAAAAATAAGGGGGAAAAATTTGACAGATAAAGAACTTCATAGTAACTTCACACATTTTCTGTAAATATGAAACTATTCTATAATTAAAAGTTTTGTTTGTAAAAATGCCCAAGATTTTCACATAAGTAAAATTCTTTCAGTTTAATCATCACTTGTTAAAGTCCTACCTTTGAACTTATAACTTGAGAAGATTTTATAATTCTTCAAAAATAAGTGGATGTCTTCTTCCATCTGTCTATGAAGAACTTGGTACTGTTCTAAGGTGTGAATTTCTATTAATTCATATACTCCTCATCCACTTTTAAAAAGTTGAGAAGGCTAACTAGATAGTACAGGAATTGAGACATTTGCCTTGCATACAGTCAATAGTGATCCCATCTTCCACAATGCTTTGGGTGGAATTACTATCAAGCACAGATTCAGGAGTAGTCCTGAGCATGTAGTGTGACCCATTCTCCCATACCACCGAATGCTGTGGGGTTCCTATACCAATTGTTGATGATAGGTTGTGATAAAACAAACAACCACACTGATTCCGACCAAGTCTATTGTTCTCCTTGGATCATAGATAGTGGCTACAATTGTGCATATGAAGAAGAGTGTAGAGTGCAAAGAGAAGGAACAGGGGCTGCAGAGATGAAACATTGGGTTAGTTGTTTGCTTTGCATGCAGCAGACTTGGCTTCCATCTTCAGCACCCAATATGGTACCCTGAGTCCAAACAGCAGTGATCACTGAGTGCATTGATCACTGATGGGTGTGACCCCAAAATAAAGATGATGAGAGAGAGAGGGGAGAGAAATAGACAGACAGAGAAATAGAGAGAGAGAAGAAATAAAAATAGAAGGAAAGCAAATTCGTGTACCTTATGCCCAAGAGTTCTTGAGTGTTTCTTCCTTGTTAATCTAGGATTTCTCAACCTCATCACTATTGATATTTAGAGGCAGTAAATTATTTTTTCTGGGGTTTCCTTTGTTTTGTGGGACATCTCTGGCCTATACCCTTTAGTTTATAGTAAAGGGTAAAGGTAAAGGCCCTCCCGTTGATCGTCGATTTGCTCGAGCGGGCCCAGTAACGTCTCCGTTGGAGACTTTGTTGTTACTGTGTTTGGCATATCGAATACTCTTGGTAGGTTGCCGGGCTCTCCAAGAGGGGCGGAGGAATCGAACTCGGGTCGGCCATGTTGGCCGCTTGTAAGGCGAACGCCCTACCCGCTGTGCTATAGTATATAGTTTATAGTATCTCGCCCTTAATGGCCTCCAGATTTTGTCAAATACATTGGGAGGGCAAATAACAAAACCACCCATACCTTCATTATTACCTTGAAAACAACTGACTCGCACTGTTTGTTTTCAAGACAAGATGGAGATGTATCCTAAGGTTTTCCTCCTCTCCTTTCTCATCAGTCTTTCATAACTACCCACCTAGAATGGGTTGCAACCCTATCTCTCACAGTTTACTACAAATTTGTATACAATTTAGTTACTTTACAAATGGTTGCTTGGTTTTTTCCTAATGAATCTTAGATGTTACAGACCCATTTTTGGTCAACATTTTAGCAGAGTCAAAAACTTGATGTTGGGTGAGTTAATTCCTAGTTTGGAGTCAGTTGGATTATCTTTTGTGTCCCTGAAGCACTAACTTAGTTGATATACTGCAGTCTGAAAAGATCCACCTGAATGCTCACCAACTTTTTGACAAGCCCAGAAGGATCTTCCAAGAATCTGTTAGAGACATATATATTAAGTTACCAGTGTTTGCTGGTAAGCACATGGCTAACCTGTAACACTTCAGAGAAATTAAATGCCTCGGTTTCTGATTTGAGGTACCATTTAAATTGCACACCTATTTTTCCCCCAAGGAGTCTTTATATCATTTCTGGGTGAGATCTAAATTTGGCAAATGACTTCCCAACTATTTTCCATTCAACCTCCTGAGAGTGGGTAGGAGGAAGGAAGTAGGAGGAAGATCTTATTTCTAGCCAGGTTTTCTGCTATTGCATTGTCTGTATCACTGGAGTGTTGGTTGCTAGTTATTAGTGGTAACTCAAAAAATTCTAAATGCAAAGATAACACAGGATGAGTTCCCAAAATACGATACATTTAAATCAGGCAGCATCTTTATTTTGTGTTAGTTTCAGGCATTCTTTCCTCCTCTGCCTCTTTGTACATATGGCTGGAATTGTCACCACTTGAGAACTGTTTATCGGAGCTTTCTGCTGCTTCAGTGCCTATCTTCTTGGAGATTATGCATGCATCATCTATAACCTTGTATACATACATCTGCTGATTTTATATATGAGGAATAGAAGAGAGTCCCTTAAAATTATGCCTTAACTGAATTATTTTACAATTTCTGTCCCTTTATCCAGTCTCTCTACATATCCTCTCATAAAACTGAGTGTGCACGGAGCTATTCCTAATCAGCGTCCTATTCTTTCTCTCTTGCCAGAAGGAGGGACATGTGAAGTGATAGCAGCACACAGATGCTGTAATAAGAATCGCATCGAGGAGCGGTCGCAAACAGTAAAATGTTCCTGTCTGCCTGGGAAAGTAGCTGGAACGACAAGAAACCGACCTTCCTGTGTTGATGGTGAGTGGCTGTTTCTTATTTCTCTAGGGTTCATCTAGGTGTTTACCAGGCATCGTGTGTGTGCATAAATATATATATATGTGTGTGTGTGTGAGTGTGTATATACATATATACACATATATACATATTTATGCAGTATAATTATGGAAGCTAAATAAAAATAATATACATTATACTTACATATATAAGTTCAATGTTTATATGATTAAGAATAATGGAAACTGTGCGGCCAAAATCATCAAGTAACCAAAGTGCCAAAGATTGCCAAGGATGAAAACCTGCACTATGACTCTACTGGTCGAGGTCACAGAAAACATAGTGAAGTACCTCCAACACTGGGAAGTAGGAAGTTAACCTGAATGTCATTTAATACTCTCAAAGGAGGAAATATTCTTGGCCCAAGAAGCCATTAAACATTATAAAACCATGATTGCTTCTTATTGTTTCTTATTGTTTCTTCTCTGCCAAAGAAAACATTGAGTTGGTTGTCTATAAATCTCTATTTTGTTTTTAGTTTTGTTGGGGGTTTTGTTCATTTTTAATCTCTAATAATCTAGAAATAGCATTGTCTTCAGGATTTGGATGTAGGACACAAAGAATAATTCATTTTCTCTACTTGCGGAAGGGGAAATGGCATCTGGCCCTGTTCAGCGCGTTAAACCTTGAAATAGTTGTACTTCATCTCTCAAAACAAATTTGTTTGACTTTAGAAATCCAAACACATTATTGGCCAATTACTCTATCTTCAAGGCTGAATTCAATAAAGTATATCACATTCTATAGTTTTAAGCCAATTATTTATAGTTGATGTATCATTCTACTTCCCCAAAATTCTTGAGTGCATGGGCATGACAGGATCAGATCAGTTTTTATGACTTAGTTCTCTACACACAATTTAAATGTAATAATGTGAATATATATTAATAATCCCAAGGAAGTTATTAAGAGAGTAAACAGTGTAATTATTCAAATTTAAGAATCCTGGTCATACCAGTTACTAATCAATAGTTAAGATATACTTGCTTTAAAACCTGTCTCATCTTCTGTAAAATGGGAATAATTGTTTCTAATTTAAAAGGTTGCAAAGGAATTAAGAAAATTATATAATGTCCAGTCTGTACCACCTGTCTTACTAATGCTTGGAGTATAACTAAGCAGAAACATTGTTTTATGAAGTTTTGCTTCATATTAATACAGAGTGTATTGTATCCAAAGTTTTTTCTTGAACTAGCCTGGATATCACCAGTGTTCATAAATCATCTTTAGAAATCCATGTTCATTTCATTTCATTTTTCATTTCATCACCCTGTTAATCGTCGATTGCCTCGAGCAGGCCCCAGTAACGTCTCTTTCATCCTAGCCCTGAGATTATATTCAGGGCTCTTTAGGAGAATGAGACCCATCATTGTTACTGGTATTTGGCATATTTGGTAGGCCACGGGGAGTTTGCCAGACTCTGCCCTGTGGGCAGGCTACATTCGACAGCCTGCAAGTTTGTCCAAAGTAGGAATGAGATAATAAGATGTCGCGCGGCCGCACTTGCGGCCGCGCGGTTCCGGGATCTGGATTTTATAGTCTCTGAGTCTTGGCCGCTGATGGGATTACACGGCGCCAGGGGGCCAGGTGGTGGGTGTGACCCCCGCCTACTGGAATTTGGAGGATCTGGGTGGAAGATGCTCGACTCCAATTCGAGTAGGCGTGGAGGTCTCGGCCCCGGAACCCGCGTGGCTGTGTCCCTCTGCCAGTACCTTCATGGGTGCGGAGAGTGGTCTCAGCATGGTGGTGGCTGGTCCTGGAGGTCTCCGGCTGCCGTAGCCCTGGCCGGGGCGGGGAGGAAAGCTCAACCCGCTCCCCTCCAAGGGACTCCGGGAAGGAACACCGAGGCGCGGGGGCAGAGACTGCACTGCTCTCATCCGGGATCTGGATTTTATAGTCTCTGAGTCTTGGCCGCTGATGGGATTACACGGCGCCAGGGGGCCAGGTGGTGGGTGTGACCCCCGCCTACTGGAATTTGGAGGATCTGGGTGGAAGATGCTCGACTCCAATTCGAGTAGGCGTGGAGGTCTCGGCCCCGGAACCCGCGTGGCTGCGTCCCTCTGCCAGTACCTTCATGGGTGCGGAGAGTGGTCTCAGCATGGTGGTGGCTGGTCCTGGAGGTCTCCGGCTGCCGTAGCCCTGGCCGGGGCGGGGAGGAAAGCTCAACCCGCTCCCCTCCAAGGGACTCCGGGAAGGAACACCGAGGCGCGGGGGCAGAGACTGCACTGCTCTCATCCGGGATCTGGATTTTATAGTCTCTGAGTCTTGGCCGCTGATGGGATTACACGGCGCCAGGGGGCCAGGTGGTGGGTGTGACCCCCGCCTACTGGAATTTGGAGGATCTGGGTGGAAGATGCTCGACTCCAATTCGAGTAGGCGTGGAGGTCTCGGCCCCGGAACCCGCGTGGCTGTGTCCCTCTGCCAGTACCTTCATGGGTGCGGAGAGTGGTCTCAGCATGGTGGTGGCTGGTCCTGGAGGTCTCCGGCTGCCGTAGCCCTGGCCGGGGCGGGGAGGAAAGCTCAACCCGCTCCCCTCCAAGGGACTCCGGGAAGGAACACCGAGGCGCGGGGGCAGAGACTGCACTGCTCTCATCCGGGATCTGGATTTTATAGTCTCTGAGTCTTGGCCGCTGATGGGATTACACGGCGCCAGGGGGCCAGGTGGTGGGTGTGACCCCCGCCTACTGGAATTTGGAGGATCTGGGTGGAAGATGCTCGACTCCAATTCGAGTAGGCGTGGAGGTCTCGGCCCCGGAACCCGCGTGGCTGCGTCCCTCTGCCAGTACCTTCATGGGTGCGGAGAGTGGTCTCAGCATGGTGGTGGCTGGTCCTGGAGGTCTCCGGCTGCCGTAGCCCTGGCCGGGGCGGGGAGGAAAGCTCAACCCGCTCCCCTCCAAGGGACTCCGGGAAGGAACACCGAGGCGCGGGGGCAGAGACTGCACTGCTCTCATCCGGGATCTGGATTTTATAGTCTCTGAGTCTTGGCCGCTGATGGGATTACACGGCGCCAGGGGGCCAGGTGGTGGGTGTGACCCCCGCCTACTGGAATTTGGAGGATCTGGGTGGAAGATGCTCGACTCCAATTCGAGTAGGCGTGGAGGTCTCGGCCCCGGAACCCGCGTGGCTGCGTCCCTCTGCCAGTACCTTCATGGGTGCGGAGAGTGGTCTCAGCATGGTGGTGGCTGGTCCTGGAGGTCTCCGGCTGCCGTAGCCCTGGCCGGGGCGGGGAGGAAAGCTCAACCCGCTCCCCTCCAAGGGACTCCGGGAAGGAACACCGAGGCGCGGGGGCAGAGACTGCACTGCTCTCATCCGGGATCTGGATTTTATAGTCTCTGAGTCTTGGCCGCTGATGGGATTACACGGCGCCAGGGGGCCAGGTGGTGGGTGTGACCCCCGCCTACTGGAATTTGGAGGATCTGGGTGGAAGATGCTCGACTCCAATTCGAGTAGGCGTGGAGGTCTCGGCCCCGGAACCCGCGTGGCTGTGTCCCTCTGCCAGTACCTTCATGGGTGCGGAGAGTGGTCTCAGCATGGTGGTGGCTGGTCCTGGAGGTCTCCGGCTGCCGTAGCCCTGGCCGGGGCGGGGAGGAAAGCTCAACCCGCTCCCCTCCAAGGGACTCCGGGAAGGAACACCGAGGCGCGGGGGCAGAGACTGCACTGCTCTCATCCGGGATCTGGATTTTATAGTCTCTGAGTCTTGGCCGCTGATGGGATTACACGGCGCCAGGGGGCCAGGTGGTGGGTGTGACCCCCGCCTACTGGAATTTGGAGGATCTGGGTGGAAGATGCTCGACTCCAATTCGAGTAGGCGTGGAGGTCTCGGCCCCGGAACCCGCGTGGCTGCGTCCCTCTGCCAGTACCTTCATGGGTGCGGAGAGTGGTCTCAGCATGGTGGTGGCTGGTCCTGGAGGTCTCCGGCTGCCGTAGCCCTGGCCGGGGCGGGGAGGAAAGCTCAACCCGCTCCCCTCCAAGGGACTCCGGGAAGGAACACCGAGGCGCGGGGGCAGAGACTGCACTGCTCTCATCCGGGATCTGGATTTTATAGTCTCTGAGTCTTGGCCGCTGATGGGATTACACGGCGCCAGGGGGCCAGGTGGTGGGTGTGACCCCCGCCTACTGGAATTTGGAGGATCTGGGTGGAAGATGCTCGACTCCAATTCGAGTAGGCGTGGAGGTCTCGGCCCCGGAACCCGCGTGGCTGTGTCCCTCTGCCAGTACCTTCATGGGTGCGGAGAGTGGTCTCAGCATGGTGGTGGCTGGTCCTGGAGGTCTCCGGCTGCCGTAGCCCTGGCCGGGGCGGGGAGGAAAGCTCAACCCGCTCCCCTCCAAGGGACTCCGGGAAGGAACACCGAGGCGCGGGGGCAGAGACTGCACTGCTCTCATCCGGGATCTGGATTTTATAGTCTCTGAGTCTTGGCCGCTGATGGGATTACACGGCGCCAGGGGGCCAGGTGGTGGGTGTGACCCCCGCCTACTGGAATTTGGAGGATCTGGGTGGAAGATGCTCGACTCCAATTCGAGTAGGCGTGGAGGTCTCGGCCCCGGAACCCGCGTGGCTGCGTCCCTCTGCCAGTACCTTCATGGGTGCGGAGAGTGGTCTCAGCATGGTGGTGGCTGGTCCTGGAGGTCTCCGGCTGCCGTAGCCCTGGCCGGGGCGGGGAGGAAAGCTCAACCCGCTCCCCTCCAAGGGACTCCGGGAAGGAACACCGAGGCGCGGGGGCAGAGACTGCACTGCTCTCATCCGGGATCTGGATTTTATAGTCTCTGAGTCTTGGCCGCTGATGGGATTACACGGCGCCAGGGGGCCAGGTGGTGGGTGTGACCCCCGCCTACTGGAATTTGGAGGATCTGGGTGGAAGATGCTCGACTCCAATTCGAGTAGGCGTGGAGGTCTCGGCCCCGGAACCCGCGTGGCTGCGTCCCTCTGCCAGTACCTTCATGGGTGCGGAGAGTGGTCTCAGCAT